ATATCAGAAGGGAGGTACGCACACGGGTGAATTAGAGGTGAACACATTTTCTCTGGTAATTTTAATTTCTATAATTGACTGAAGGCAGATATAATAATGAATATGAAATGTAAAAAACTGTTTGATGTTTTCTGGAATGCAATCAATAAATATGCTGATATGACCATTCTTGTCGGAATGACAAAGATAACTTTATAAGGATCACACTGGGCAAAAAGGCAGACATGCTTTCTTACATCCACATATTTACGCTTGCTTGTTTATATATAAGCATGAGTCGAGTGTATAGATAGATGCACATGTAGCTAAATGGATAGAAAAATAATGATCCATCAGACATGTGTTTTTATAACACAACTCGGGGATAAATAAAAAGCAAGATCTTATGAAATATATATTAAAGCCTAGATAATCTGGATTGGCATCGACCTTGCGCCAGGATACAGCTCAAGGTCACAGTTCACACATAACAGTGTCCTTCCTAAACACACTAAACTACATAACATGAGCAAATCCTGTATAACATGACACATCTTCCTTTGCCTTCGTGTGGCTTAAGGTTCTCGTCTCTCCATACTCGTCTTGTCTGTTTTGTGATCGTTTTTTTCTAGGAGGTCTACCAGTAAGGGGCTCAGAAGCGTCGTCCAGCATTTTTGTTTGCGGATGTGAACGGGTATCCACAACACAGAAAGACTGGAGGCTGTCTTCGAGGTAGGCCTGTCCGAAAAAATGGACACAGAGAATAATACATCTTATATTTCCCCTCCCCTTCCCCGCCATCTTTATTTTGTCTATGTCAGTCTAATCTCAAAGCAAAGGGAGGAGGGTCTATCTGCTATTTAGGCCTTTGGAACGGAGGTGAACTATTTACGATAGGAGGAGAGTGAGTTAAGTCGGGATGGGGGCATCCGTTGCTAAATAAATCACGAAATTTCGCACGTTTTGATCATCTTTCATTTGATGAAGATACGATAACCTGTAGCCAGTATGTAGAAGCTATTGATGTTGTTCCGAGGTGAACCTTACCTTAGGAAAGTACCTACATTATGCCATAACACTGTACACTTACATAGACCATAGCTCTTGTCGGGGTAACAGGACTATTCAGGGGAAACAATATGTTAACAAATGTACTTTACTGTAATAGGTATATATGTACATAGTTTGATATTGTACAACACTGTACAAAAGATACTGCTATAAGCAATATCCTAAGACCCTGCTTCCATTCTATCTACATAATACAGTAGTAGTCACCATTAGAAAAAACACTAAGGGACTGCTCTCTAAGGATAAAAAATGAATGTTTATTGGCAGCAGCGATGCAAAGAAATCTGACAGGATAAATTCTAGAAGTTCCTGAGAAGAAACCTAGATGAACCTAGCCAGTAGTTTTTGTTCTTGAACCACATTCCTTTTCTTCTTTAACAAAAACCCAGTCTCTGGACTTCACACATCAACACAGTGTTCCCATTTTTTTTCTTCCTTTCTTCCTTCATCTGGTAAAAATAATTTGCATGCGAATAAGAGATTTGTTCCATCTGAATAAGAAAAAAGTTAACTTGTTCGAGGGGTAAAATCTACTATAGTCTACCTTGTACCGCAGTTCTAGTGGCTGGAGACACGGCTGTCCTTACATCATTACCAGTAACACAGAGACACGGAGAGCAGCGACACATCAGAAGCTGCCACTGCACACGCTCGGGCATGGCGGCGAAATCAAAGCTCTTCCACCCGTACAGGTCTTGTCTACACTTACAGATTAAAATATACACTGACGGCGGCCCGGGGAAGCACCACAGAATACTGCCTCAGAGGCCCTCTCTCCCTCTGTGGCACTTCGCACAGGACCTCTGGGAAGCAGGCAGACCGGTTCTCACGTGTTCAACGAACTCGAAAGGATTTTCAGCCTAAGGCAAAGGGTCCGTGGGGTTGGACCTTGAGTTTCGCGTTTGAGAGGAATAGAAAAAAGGCCGAACTTTTTGACTGACCGTGATGAGTGAGATGGATTCCATTCGGTGAATACGAAAAAGATACTTCTTAAAAAAAATGCACATGTAAACACGGTGGGGTTGGATCTACGGAGGCGATGCAATACCGAGGGGAATTTGAGAATAAAGCGAAATACTTAGAAAAAGAAAAAAAACGATAACGGTAACTAGGGGACACGAGAGTGTAATCATTAGTAACAAATAAAGTCTTAACAACGTAGTTTACATAGGCATAACGACACTTGCTGGCCCCGCCGTCGTCGGCCTCTCGCCACGCAGAGAAAGCCGAGGCCTGGCGGGAAGCCTCGCTGCCTCGCTCTCTCCTTGAGGCCCGAGGGTGACGCTGCTGCTCTGGCGGCTCGAACGTCTCTCACTCGACCACTCAGCAGGGATTGTCGTCACGTGGCTCGCCTCATCAACAACCATAGAAAAACACCTCATCGACAGCGCTCTTACTGACTCATTCATCAGGCCAGGACCCAGCAGGACGCGGGGCGCGACGAGGAGAATCCTACCTCCTTCAGGCTCAGGAGGAAGAGGTAAGGAGGTGGATAAAAGGGAGGGAACAATGATTATTGCTACTGAAAGGCTCCTCTTCACCCGTAATTACTCGACAGAACGCGAGTGCTCGTGAAACAACAGCCGCGGGGCCTGCGAGCCGCTCACTGGTTCTCCTGCTCGTACACCAGAGGGTCATGAAGGCAGCTGAAGAAGAACGACTTGAAGGCATTCATGAGGTGGTAGCGGTTGAGGTCGAGCATGTAGTCGTCGTCCGTGTACACCTGGGGAGAGGGAGACAGGTGGGTCGTTATTAGGCAAGTTCATGGAATACGTATAGGCCTACAAAAGAGTGAGATGGCGATGAACTTGACCTAAAGCGAGGTGTTCCTGGCCATGATTCGGCTGCTGCTTCTGGAGGAGTACAGAGCACATGAACTTTTGTGAATCTGACGTTTTAAATCTATAGCTAATTCCCATGATATATCCAAACTGTTGTATTACACACAAAGAGTAAATTTCGATAAACCCAGTGATATCAATTACATGTTCAACATCACAAACTTTTTCCAGATCATGCGATCTCCAGAGCTGTCATATTTTACACATTTCAATTTCCTAAGTAAGAATAAGAAGAAATAATCCTATTATGAATAACAATACGAATACTTGCTTTATACCTCCAATTCCACTTGATCCTACAATCCTATTTGCGATTGCTCAAGGGAGGGCCCCAAGAAGGTAGCTCGGATCCAAGATGAGGTAGGCTCCCGGCATTAAAAAAAGTCATTGAGCTTCCCTTGTGCATCTCGCATGCGTCAACCATATTACTGGTGTATTATTCATGAATTATCATTATGTAATCATTCACTAATCCGTCTCCTGTCCCATATTATGCCACTATCTACACATGGTCTTTCCAGGTTATATCCAAATCCCAAATGTTGCAGCCCTGAGAAGAGAACATACATTCTAAAATATCTTTTGACAATGCAGTGTCCATACTATCACTCTAGGAGATAACAGGATCCTCAAACGTCTTTTTTTCTTCATTTATAAAGAACACGCTTTTAATGCCAGAACAAAAACAAGGTTTCCGTGAATTGTTTGAAAAGAATTTTTCACAGAATATTATGAAAATGATACAGTAATATGAAACAGCAGCAAAATATATATAGCTTCAATGCAAAATATAATACATATACAATATACACTAAATATCCAGATAAGCATTGATAAGCAGAAAAAGACAATCTAGCTACAACCTCATCAGTGCTCTTTACTGCAGAGAAAGAGGAACACTGCTAAAAGGGTCCACCAGAAATAGAGCTTGTGTACGTAGAGAGATAACGTCTTTCATGGATTTTGTTTTCTATCCCTAAGTTTACTAATTATCCTGTGCTATTGAACTCAGTGGTTCATAACCGATGTTAAGGTGCCGAATTCTCACGAAATCCATCATACGTTTGGCGAATCCCATGAATGTAAAAAAGAAATCAGAAAATGCATTAGAATTCAGAGATAGGTGTTTTTTTTATTATTTATTTATCCCTTTTTTGTTTTTACTGTACTCTTTCTTTTAAAAGACCGCCACACCTTAGGTTAAAAACCACTGATCTAGGTCATGCCGCACTCTGGAGAGTAAAAAGTGTATGTTGATTCACCCTTTGCAGCTTCACTGTAGAAAAAGTGTTCAAACATGATTCCCGTTGCAAAAGACACACGTCATACATACCCTATAAAAAGGACCTCACACTTCGCTCTACACAACTAAGTCTCGCGCTCACGAGCAAACGACTCTACTCTACTTCGGTCTACAACTCCCAGGACGTCCAGAATGTCCTATCGATTCTTCTTCGGGATGTTTTGTCCCCGTAATACATCCCAAAGCCCCCCCCCCCCCTCCCCCGCCAAGAGAAAAAGAACCGGAGAAGCAAGCGTCAAGGAACCACTTCGACCTCCATTTCCTCCGCGTCCTCCTAAGAACCGGTTCCTCAAAGAGTCCCTTCGAGGCACCGTCTGTCCAGCACGAACTCCGAGAGAAGTGAGTGGAAGTGGTGTTCAGCGGGAGAGAGAGAGTAAGACGCGTCCGTGTAAACCTACAAAAGGGAAGAGCTCAGTGAAGTTTTGGCGGGAAAATGGCTGGCGGTGTGAAGGTTCGACGCGGATGTGAAGAGATGTTTTTTGAGGTTAGGGAAGAAAACGGAGACATTTAAATGGATTCTCATGCAAGGTTTATTCATATAACGAAGGATATGTGGATGGAAACCAGAGAAGAAAAGGGAAGATGAATAAGAGACGCATAGAGAAATCAAAGAAGGAATGGCACCGTTACCCAAACAGGAAATATGCAAAAGGAGAAATAACAATAGTGAGTGTTCATAATAATGATAACGAAGAACTACGACAAGAAATACTTATCGAAATCTAACAAAAAGCACACACTCACTATTGGAATCCACCAACAAAATTTTTAAAGGGAATGTAAACTTTAAATCTTTGCTCATCTACGTATTATTTGAAGTGAGAATCAGTAGATTCAGAAAATCACTTCAGGTCTAAGGAAATAAATATATTTGGGTAAGTTGATATTTGAAAAAAAGAGACTTAGAGGGTTATGAAACCAGTCGTCAAAACGGATGGTACATATGTATTGGAAAGCGTCTGTGTATCGAAAATGAGTGAATTAAGAGTAAAGAAAATACATTTGTTTATCTAATTCTGTCTATGAGTACATGTGTCTTGCCAAGGGACTTAAAAGAAAGGTAGTACCACTCGATACCAAATTGAAACTGACTTTCCCTATGGAATGCTGAGAATTGTTTATGGTATGGAACAAATTATGATTAAAACGTGGATTTTTTGTTTTAATTCTGGTAGGATTGCCACCTGTCTTTTAAGTAGCTTGTGATGAATAAATTTCTGAAGCAAGTCCCTTCAGGGTATGACATACAGTTAAAGCATAAATGAAATTAGGAGATAAAGACAAATAAAAATATCCACAAAATAATTAAGCAAAATGCATGCAAAATAGTATGATTAAAGAGAAATAAAACAAATTATATATACCCAGGCTTATCCTTAAACACATACAAAGATACATACACGTTCAAACATGCATGTATGTACACATAACTACACATACACATACAATCAATTGATAATAGAGGGGAAAGACATGTAATTCGGAATATTAGATTTTCGCACATATTTTATATTCGGGTTATTTTAGATGCGAAGTGATTTGGGTCTTTCAAAGATGACTGGCGGAAGAGGTCTAGGCAAATGAGAAGTGTAATAGTTTTGATATTTTTTGTAATATGGCTTTTTATGCAATAGGAATCTACACTTATAATAGAGTTTATGTGATTAGTCAGTAAGGTTTACAAGAGTACAATGGGGCTTTAATATCCAAGAAAAACATAGTGTGACTTTTTTAAATATCAGTTGTGTCAATATATTTACCCGTCGAGACTATATACTCTTTGGGAAGTTTTAAAAATCCACCTCATGCTGAGTCATCCAAAAATCCATGTCTTCTACTCAGAATCGTATTCTTTTATTCCCATAAATTCCGAAGGTAATTTGTCGTACGCTCAGTATGTATATGTATATATATATATATATATATATATATATATGTATATATATATATATATATAATATATATATATATATATATATATATATATATATATTATATTATATATATATATATATATATATATTATATATATATATATATATAACATAATATATATATATATATATATATATATATATATTATATATGTGTGTGTGTGTGTGTGTGATGTGTGTGTGTGTGTATATGTATGTGTGTGTGTGTGTGAGTTAAATTACATACAAGAAGGATAGGTGTAAATGAAAATTTTATTTATAGAAAGTAATTATTTATATTAAACACTCATAGCGAAATGTCCAAGTTCATCGGGTGTGCATTGAGAAAGGGTGAATACTCATATTCTAGATAATTCTAATTCACACACACAAACACGCTCGCGCATATGAATATATAGATAGACAAAGAGAGCGAGAAATAAATTGCGGTCCTAGAACACTGCGAAGTGGACGAACACTCACAGACCCAAGCCAAAAGGTGAACATGAATCCCCGTTCCCCCTCAACGACCCCTCCCAGAGGCGCGAGACGACCAGCCCAAGACGACCTACCACGTGGGTGAAGTAGGACCCCTCGGCGATGAAGGAGTGCGCCAGCAGGAAGGCGTGGTGGGCGGCAGGATCCCGCGTGCCGTGAGCGAGAAGCACGCGGTTGCTCCCGAGGTCAGGCGCGAGGCGGGTCAGGTCGCTGTCCTCGTAGCGGCGGCCGGCGCCCTCGCTGTCCTCCGCGCCCAGGAGGCGCTCGGCCCAGAAGGAGCCTGGGGGAGGGGAGGGGGTCAGGAGGGGCGGTGCAATTATATAGGGACGCAAAGGAATTGGCGAATAGGGAGTGACTTACGCTGCTCTTCCCTGTATAAAATGGCTCCAGGATTTATATTTTTTGCAAAGAATTTTCAAGTTACAGCACATGGTCCCTCATATGTTCCCGAAGAAGCACTGGGAATATTCGTATTAGACCTATTACGACTTCCATGAAAGGAAATAAAACATGCATCACAAAATAGCCTTCTCTAATGGGTAGCGCTTTTCCTTCCCTTTAAAATACGAGCTGTGGGTCATTAGTGGCCAAAGGCGTAATCTATCCTCATACGAACTCGCTGGTCCGGCAAAGTGGATAACAAGGCACGATCCTGTGACCAAGGGTGCCGTAAAATCGACAGTGTAGTATCATAAAAAGTATAAAAAAGTATGTATAAAAATTAATTGATGTATATTAACGGTAGACGTTAAATGTATAAAAATGAATGGATGTATATTAACGGTAGACATACAAGCAGATACACAAACACACATTACCGTACGAACACGAGACGGACAACGTACCATGCGCCCGCCAGTCGGCGACCGGGTTAACAGCGGCAACACACTTGAGC